CATCCAAGCTTACAGTACCTGGTATTCCCACGTAGTCACACATCTAGTTAGTGACCAGGCTCGAGGTTGCTTTACTTCTGTGATCGTATCGGATCTTGTGTCTACGATTGACAATTCCGAGCCTTTATCCATTACACCGACCAGCACATCCTTGCTTTCTGCACCTGGTATTCCCAAGCAGTCACCCATCTAGTTAGTGACCTGGTGGATGTTGCTTAACTTCGGTGATCATCGAACTTGGTTCTACGATTGACAATTTGAGCCTTTGATCCATTACACCGACCAGCATATTCAAGCTTTCATCAATGATTAAAAACCCATTTAGACAGTGACCAGTCTCGAGGTTGCTTTACTTCGGTGATCGTACGAACCGGTTTTCAACGCGATATAGTCGCAAGGTTTGTAAACATTGTACATGTTTTACAAAAAAATGATACACTTTAAAAAAAACTTTGTAGCCCATTGTTTGCTTCATTGCACGGTGTACAGAAGCGTTCAAAGGTTAAGGCTGTTGATTGTTTTAATTGTACGGTGTTTATAAGGAAAAATAAACAGGAATTTGAACTCGGCTCTCCGATTAACAATTCCTACACCACCTGCACATCCAAGCACCTGGTATTCCCAAGTGACCACCTAGATATAGCTTAATTGCGGTGATCGTACGGGAACCGGTGTTTCGACGTGATGTGGCCGTAAATCTAAATGGCAATGGATTAACACGGATAAATCTCAAAAACCGACCCCCAATAGCTGTGTTCCATGGAAGAAAGGTATATGTTGTGCGTGTGATCAGATCATTGGGGCATTATACATATATAGTTTTTAAAGCGCAGTGAAACACTAAATGCGCACTTATAGGTCCAGCAGCTGCAACCTGTCAATAAAAGTTTGGGTCAAAAAGTAGTGCTCGTCAAGAGGTTAAATTTGTTCTCTATGATAAGGAATAGCTGCATACAGTAAGATTTTGGAACTCGGTTGAACTGTTCGTACCTATTTACTTATTTGCTTATTTACCTATTTGCTTATTTACCTATTTGCTTATTTATCTATTTACCAATTTGCCTATTTGCAAAAATTGCATATTTGCCTATTTACTAATTTACCTATTTGCATACTCAACAATTTGCCTATTTACATATCTGCCTATTTACCAATTTGCCTATTTACCTACCTGTCCATTTTCCAATTTGCCTATTTACCTGATCTTGCAGCAGTAGTTTTTGATTGCTGTGTGACAGTTACACACCTGGCCCAGGGTCGGATCCTTTGGTTACGGCGCCAACGGTGACGTTGCTCCTCCTGGTCGCTCCTCCTGGGTCCAAGCGTGCCGCTCCAACCCCTTGGTCAGATGATCACCAGCCTCGCCTTTCCCGACTCGCTTCCAATACCTGGTCACTAAAGCAACTGTACCGATCTCCGGTCTGTCTACCCACGCTGTGTTTAGATCTTAGACAGACGGGACCAGCAGGGATTGGGGCCGATACAAGTTGAGTCCGACGGGGGTGGCAAAACACAAATAAAAGAAAAAATAAACTCACGAGACAAAAAGATTGCTGATGAAAAAATGGGTAACAACCTTTTATATCTTAATGTCCGTTACATAAAAACAAAATTGTTCTCATTTCCCAACCCGCTCTGTGGACTATGGCACAAGCTTCTATCACACAACCTAAAAGATTTCGAATTGCCTACTCTTTAGAATTGTGTATGTCGGAGTGTGGTTTGGTTCGACACTGGGGCTAATTTCTATCGATCATTCGCAGTTGATTCTTCTCTTCGACTTGAGTTGTTCTTCTTCTTCTTCGTCGACTTAGGCTGGAAGTTCTCTTGTCTTCGACTTGGGCTGGAAGTTCTTCTTTGTCTTCGACTTGGGCTGGAAGGATCTCTTGCCGCAACTCAGCCGCAACTCTCTGTCGTCCGAGGTGATCTCTTCTCGCTGCCGTCCGGGGCTGAACTGCCTTTTGTCGATTGGGGCCCTTCAGGCTCTTCCTATTGACGCCGCAGCAAACCGGGGTGGGTCTGTCGGCGTCAGGGTTTTTCTCGATAATTCCAAAAGTCGCATTATTTTTGATTTCTCATTATCGCTATTGTTTTCACCCCTACTTCCTCACAGTGCCTTTTGTGGGGAGGTGCACACCCATCTCTCTTAGTCTCTCGTATGTCAGGTGACCGTTTTTCGACCAATGGTTCCTGATCGGGCATTTCTTTCTCTTCTTTTCTGCAGATCACGTGACCGTTTCCGACCAATTGTTATTGATCGAGCATCCTTTCTCCTCCTTTCGGGCGTGGTTACATCGTTCTTGTTTTTAAAAAACAAAATCCAATTTTGCCCTTTTCTGCACGTACGAAAAAATGACAATCTTGGCTTTCTCTCACCTGGGCTCTGTCAACCAGCCCGCCGCTAATTAGTTGTGACTTCAGGAAAGAATACCGTCGCCATCCGTGATCCGAGACAATCGCCTCCTCCACCTCTTGCTTTTTTGTCAGACCCGGCAGTCAGAAAATCTTAATTTATCTGAATTGAAAACATCTTTCACTCGTCAATGTGGGGGTTCTAATTTTTAACAGGTCAGAATCTGTATACCGTTCCACCGGTCACTCCCCTCAACCCAAAAGACACTTTTTCTCTGATTAAAAAAAAAAAATTTCGTTTCTATTGTTCTAAAAAGAATTTCCCTTTCTCCAATTTGATAAGGTGTCTTTCTACGCAAAAGTAGGCTAGATGCTTTGACCGATATCTGGTTTTCATCAAGCGGCCCGTTTTGATATCATGTCTTTTTCCTTTCTTTCTTTTTTATTATTTCTAATTCTATTCTTCCAATTGTCTTTAAAAAAATTCGGTCAACATGCTAGCTAAGATATCTTTCTGACTCGTGTTTTTGTTAATGACCGTTTTTTTTTTTATTTCTCGACCTCTTTTTCCCCCCCTTCCTTCTTCTTCCCTTAGGATCGTCCAGGTACAATCTTAGTGAATTATTTTCAACTCAATTATTTTCCGTTTTAAAAAAAAATCAACAACCTGTTTAGTAAACCGAGTAAGAAAAAATTAAATCATATTTCTATGAATATTTCTAATAATGCAAGGTGCCACAGCTGCATAATGTTTTGATTAGGAAAACTTTCTCTAATGAAAATCAGATTCAAGAGTTCGTCGGAGACTTTTTCACATTAAATCCTGCGGAACTTTACCCAAAAAGTATCGAAGAATTTCCCTGATGATAAGTTGCAAAAAGGCATTTTTTTTAAAAATCGGAATCATTCGATGCAAGGAAGTAATGTCACTGTTTCACTGCCCAAACGACTAAATGTAGCCATCTCTTTCTACACCAACAGCTTCTTACCTCGCACCCGCCTCCGTCAGTGGAACTCCTTTCCTATCAGTTGCTTTCCTGATAGCTATAACCTTGAAGTATTCAAATGTAATGTCAATCGACATCTTCTGATGCCTTGATTTTGATCCTCGTCCTTCTCTTTATCCTTTTCCCAAACACTCTTTTTTACTCTCTGTAACCCCTTGCGTACTAGTGGTACTCCCACTTTGCTTGGGGTGATTTGCTTAAAAAAAAAAGAAACATTAACGATGAGCAAAAAGAGGAGGTAGTAATCAGGTGGACAGTAGATAACGATTGATATTGCATTTAAAATTTTAGCAGATTAAAGTTGAATGGAAAGCATGGAGCCGGATGTTAGTTCCACTGGTGAGAAGTGCGAGAGAAGGAACTGCTAGCATAGAATTTGCGGTTACATTTAAGTAGCTCAACTCTAGATTGATGAGATCTCGACGCCAGTCTAGTGCTGCGCTTGAATTAAAAAAAAAAACTCTAGGTACCATGGTGAAGAGATCATTCAACGAATTGTGACTAATGGCGATTATATACGTGAATAAAAGGAGATTGTACTTTTTTTTTTCAAGAATGAAGTTGATGAAAAAAACAAAGCAAAAAAAAAAAAAAAGACAAAAAAAGACAGCGTTATTTATGACTCAACCTAATGATTGAACTGTCTCCCCCTCTGGTGCAAAAAAAAAAAAAAAAAAAAAAAAATTGAAACTGGCTATTTAAGGCGCGTTTGAGTTTAGCTTTTTCACGGAATCATGTGCAAAAAAAAAAAAAAGACGAAAAGTTTGTTAAGTGCATCGGTCGAAACAAACGAAGCGAAAAAAAAAACGAATTTCGTTCTGCTCTACAATCCGTAGCATAGCAATAAATAACGACAAATGAAAGTAGGTCGCTCAGGAAACTGTATAAATCATCTTTGTACGCTGTTGCATCTTGGGATAGCGGTTCCCTTGTTTTTGCAGGCAAAGAAGGGTTTGGGGAATATGGGGATGATGGAAAAAGACGGTAGGGAAAATTGACTAATTTATATTCTGGTCCGTTCTCTTTCGATTCAATAGATGGGGTTCTTTAAATATATATATATATATATATTTCTTTTTTCTTTTCTTCCTTTCGTGTTTGACATTGGCAAATAGTTATTTATCGCGTTGATGCAGCAACGCAACGACACGAAGTGATAAGCGTATAGAGGTGATTACCATGATGAAGATGTCGATGATAGAACGTACAAGAACAAGGACAAAGAAAAAATATTGCAATGATAATAATACAATGTTAATAATGATAGAGAAAGAACAATGGCAAAACTGAAAATTCTTATAAGAAAAACGAACAGAATTCGTAACAAAAAAGAAAAAAAGAGGAATGAGGCATAGGAAGAAACGGAGGAGGAGGTGATGAAAGTAAAAGAGATGGAAGCATAAATAGAGGAGGAGGAGAATACGCTTGACAAAGAGGGTGGAAGAGCAACAAAAAGAAAGGGTAGAAATAAAAAGCGAGGAGGCGAACTAGGAAAATAAGAGAAAACGGTAGGAAACGAAGAGAAAGACACGGTGAAAGGAGAGGAGGTGGTGGCAAAAAAGAGATGCAAGAGAAGAAGACATAAAAGGGGGAGGGGAGTATTTGGGGAAAAGTGGTGGCAAAAAAAATAGGGGGAAGAGTTTAAGACATAAAAGGGGGAGGCCCAGGAAAGTATGAGAAAAACGGTAAAGGAGAGAAAAAAGAGAAAGAAACTTTTTGAAAGGAGGGAGGTGGTGGGGCAAAAAATGCAAGAAAGAAGACATAAAAATAGGGAGGAGTTGGGAAAAAAGAAAAAAAAAGGAGGAGGCGAACTAGGAAAGAGAAAACGGTAAAAGAAGAAAATTTGAAAAGGGAAGAGGTGGAAAAAAAAATGCAAAGAAGAAAAAAAGGGGGAGGAGTTTTGGAAAAAGAGGTGAAGGTCAATAAAATGAAGAAGGGAGGAGAAACAAAGGAGGAACTAGGAAAGAAGACGGTAAAAGGCGAAGAGAAAAAATAAAGGGGAGGAAGGGGGCAAAAAATGAGATGCAAGAGAAGAAGACATAAAAATATGTTGGAAAAAGAGGGTGGAAGGTCAATAAAAAGAAGGGGAGGAGTAGAAACAAAAAGGAGGAGGCGAACTAGGAAAGTAAGAGAAAACGGTAAAAGGCGAAGAGAAAGAAACAGTGAAAGGGGAGGAAGAGGTGGCAAAAAAGAGATGCAAGAGAAGAAGACATAAAAGGGGGAGGGGAGTATGTTGGAAAAAGAGGGTGGAAGGTCAATAAAAAGAAGGGGAGGAGTAGAAACAAAAAAGGAGGAGGTCAACAATAAAGAAGAGAAACGGTAAAAGGCGAAGAGGAAACAGTGAAAGGGGAGGAAGACGTTAAAAAAAAGAGACGAAGAGAAGAAGACATAAAAGGGGATCTAATGACCTTGGAAAAAGAGGTGGAAGGGCAATAAAAAAAAGAGGGGGAGAAGTCACAATTGGGAAAAAACTGAAAGTAAGGAATATGTCATTTTTTAAGAGAAAGAAAACAAGGGAGGAGAAAAGTTAAAGGAAAAAAAGAATACATTGGAAAAAGAGGAGGAATATGGGTAATGGTAAGAGACAGTAAAGAAAGGAGGTTAAGGAGAGGTGGAGACGGGAAAAGAAGAAAATATAAAAAGAGGAAGTGAATACGCCGGAAAAGAAGGCAGAAGAGAAAGAAGAACGTGATAGGAGACAGTAAAGGTTGGGGGGCGTAAATGGTGGATTAAAAAGAGAAGATGGCAAATAGAACCGAAACAAAGAGGAGGGGGAGAATACAGTTGAAGAAGATGAGGAGGAGGATTAACAAAAAAGCTGGAGAAGGTGAAACAGGGAAATAAGAATAGAGGTCGATAGAAGTCCGGAAGAAGAAGAAGAAGAAGAAGAAGAAGAAGAAGAAGAAGAAGAAGAAGAAGAAGAAGAAGAAAAATTAGAACGAAAGAGGAAAAAGAAAGAAGAATGTTGGTTAGTTGGTTGTTTTTGTTTAGCGGCATATCAACACATCTATGGGTTATTTAATGCCGAAATATAAATTTTTTTGTACGGAATTCTATTTTATTTTTGCAGATAATAAGGGTTTAGTGATACAAATTTAACTAATTTAACCCGTAGTTGGGGGTGTATTCATGGCTTTCCCAAGGGTATTTGCGCGTAAGTGATTATAACAAACCCAACTGGAATTGGAACTCGGCTCTCCGATTAACAATTCTAAGCCAATATCCATTACACAACCCACAAACCCAAACTTGTTTTGTTTTTTTGGTATACCCAAAATATTACCAATCTAAGTACTGACCAGGCTCAACTTCGGTGATCGTACGGGAACCAATGTTTCATCGTGATATGGCCGCAATCCTAACTAGAAGAAAAAAGAAAGGAAAGAAAGAAGAAATACGAAAAAGAAGAAGTAACGCGAAAGATGATAAGGACAGACGAAAGAATGCGAAAGAAGGAAAAAGAAAGAACAAGTGTAAAAGAGGAAAAAGAAAGAAAGAAGAAATTCTAAAGAAGAAGAAGAAGAAAAAGAAAAAGAAAAAATAAAGAGGAAAAAGCAAAATGCTCAATGGTCAAATTGCTATTGGATTACCTTTGTGAGTATGAGTACATGTGTTCCGGCGTGTTCATTATATATATATATATATATATATATATATATATATATATATATATATATATAAAGGTAAAAGACAATAGAAAAACCGTATTATTAGCCGACGCGTTTCGTCCAATGTGAACATTTTCAAAACAAAAACAAAATGAATTTATTGAAAACAAAGTAACTATTAACCACAAACAAAATGTCCTTAGCAACTAGAAGAATTTAGAAAACGCTGTTGTATTCATATTGTCAACTGAAATTTCTACACGTGAAAGTGCTTGACGAAATGATAAAGATATAGTTTTATGGTATACTATATTTATGGGTAAAGTTCTCAATATCAGGGATATAGATAGAACATATGTAAATATAAAAGTAGACATTGAAGTCAACGCCCAGAGGCGACATGAATAATGAATTTTTACAAGAATTGTTTCCATTTATTTAAAAATTTTTAATAAGAATATGTTATACATTTTTAAATCTTTTAATTTGTCCCTTTTAGATGATATTATTATTAAGTAAAAACTATCTTTACAAAATGGAAATTATAAATGGAAAAGGTTACTACACTTCAGCAACTCCCGGTATTTTGAAACATGATTTTAAACTTATTTTTGTGTGTGTGTGTGTGTGTGTGTGTAAACATGCCGATTTTTGTAAAAACGGACGTCCATACACGACATTATCAAAAAAATAAGGGCGATAACTGTAGTAAATTTTAAGGCAAAATACTGAAAAATTCAATAAAACATAACTTAGAATATTATTCTCAATTTTTAAGATTACTGGCAAGTTAAAAAATTATATAAATGTTCTCACGTTATATTTGTCAAGTAATTCTTACAGACAATTTCTTCGTAGAAAAAAAAATTAATTAAATTTCCCAAACACCAGGCTGTTAGTAGAGCTGTCATCGTTTCATAAAAAAACACACCCTCTGCGTTAAAAAGCTTTTCTGCGATATTTTAAAGTAAAAGTAAGATTTCTTTCAAATCAGATCAATTAAACTTAAAACCACTTTAATATTCCTCAAATAAAGTTTCATAAAAGTATATTTTATTTTTGAAAGATTTTTTTAATAAAAATAATTACTTTTTAAATATGGATAAAATCTACCATTTCTTGCGAATTAAAAATAAAAAAACTAATTTCAATCAATTAAGAATTATTTTTACTTTTAACTGAGTATATGGATTCTTTTTGTATCCATCTAGAGTTATAGGAATGTTCTATTTTCCAAACACGGTCAGAACATTGTGGCCGTGTTCATAGTTGATATTACTGAACGCTGGCTTTTTCTTTTTTGTTAATAATGCTTCCATTGTTTTAATAATACTAAAAACTATGAGAACGGTTAAAATGTTCTGACCGTGTTTGGAAAATAAAACATTCCTATAACTCTAGATGGATACATAAAACAATCCATATATTCAGTAAAAATAAAGTCATCATTGATAATGGCTAAAAGTATAGCTGAAAGCGTTCGGACATAAAAAAACATTCAGACAATTTCTACATAATTTATGTCCAGAAAAGAAGAAAATTATAAGAATAAGTAAAATTAAATAGAAAAATTAACCGCAGTGCCTTGTCAGTTGTTTTTAATGAAACATGTATAATAGAGGGATTGCTGCCCAAATACACACACACACACACACACACACACACACACACACACACACACACATATATATATATATATATATATGTGTGTGTGTGTGTTTGTATATTTCTTTAATGAGTATGTGTGTGTATATGTGTGTGTGTGTGTAAAGATTGCAGGCATAAAAATCAACACGGAAAAGTGAGTGTGAGTTCCACGTTTCAACGTCATCTACAGACCAAGAAGACTGGCCTTAAAGTTGCATTGAAGTGTGAACCTGACAATCACATTGTCTATGTCTATAAACTTTCTATCTCCACAGAGATTAGAAAATGTTAAACAACACGGACACACACACACACACACACACACACACACACACACACACACACACACACATATTTATATATACAGGGCGCAATGGGTAAATTATCGCCATTTTATACTTTTAATTTCGCGCATGCGTGATGTTTGTTTTTGATTTTGTCGACTGCACAGTATAGTAGGGTCGGTTGTGCACTGTCTGTGAGAAAAAAAAACACCATGTCACAATTCGTTCCGTCAGAAATTTGGAAACGGCTAGACATTCTACTACTAGACATTCGCGCCGGAAGCTCCAACTCGACCATTTCAGAGTGGTTGGGTGTTAATCTGAGGACAGGGCAGAGGATTTGGAAAGAGTTGGATGAGTCTAATTGTGATTACGAAGGTACGGCAGCTCGGAAAACTCACTCTGACCGTTCTGATAAGAACTCACGAATTTGTTGTTGAGATCCAGGCCATGATTGACAACGACCCCTCCAAGTCAATCTGCTCCACAACCAGAGACACAGGAGTGTCTGAGTTTCATATCAGGCACATAGTGCATGAAGACATTCTGCATTTCTCATACAAGATGAGAAAGGGTCAGTTTTTATCCCAAGCTATGAAGGACAAGAGGAAAAACGGCACTATGACGCTTTTTAACAAACCCAAGCATGCCTGCAACCAAACATGATTTGGTTTTTCTCAGACTAGAAAATGTCTGCTACAATAAGCTGTTGTACATACAGAACAACCGTTGGCTTGCTGTGCCCTCAAAAGATGTACTGAGGGTAATGAAAAGAAAATATCCAGTCAACATGATGGCGTTTGGAGTGATCACTAGTGATGGCGAAGTTATGCCTCCATCCATCTTCTCACAGGGTCTCAAAATCCACACTTAGGTCTACATCAAGTGCCCTGAGGAGGTAGTTCTGCCCTGATCAAGATGGTGACTACTGAAAGACCCTATGTCTGGCAGCAGGACTCTGCACCATGCCACCCAAACAGGAGAATCCACTCATGGTTGTCAGACAATTTCTGCGACCGCATCACCCCTTACATCTAACCACCTAACTCCTCAGACTGCAACCCCTTTGATTATTATGTGTGGAGCGCAGTTGAGCAAGAGACCAACAAAACTGTTTGTAACACCAAAGATGAACTGAAAGCAAGGATTATGGCAGCATTCACCAACTTAAACAAGAGACCATCCAGAAGAGCTGCAGGTGATTCCGAAGTCGTCTGGAGGGCGTGGTTGAAGCCAATGGCGATATTATTGAGTATTAACTCTTTAGTATTTCAAGATATTTTTGTGTAAATTATTTACATTATTCGAACTATTGTCCTCATCTTTGTCGCCATATTTATCACAACGTTTCGGCCGTTGTACGCTCCGGCCTTCTTCGGGTGGTTGAAATTTCGAACTGAACCCTTTATTTCGCTCACTGGGGTAAACTGTTCTAGTTCCACGTGCCATGTTTGATGGATGTCAGTTATCAGTTATCTCCTGTTAATTTTCCCTCTGAAAGTTCTCCACTGCCTTAACCGGGTATATATATATATATATATATATATTAATTTTTTTTTTTTGTATTTCAAGATATTTTTGTGTAACTTTGGTAAATATATCTGGTAAAATAAGGTGTCAATGTTATTTTCATTTTTGCGTGATTTAGACGACAATTTATCCATCGTACCCTATATATATGCGTGTGTTTGTGTGTGTGTTTGTGCGAACGATGCCTGCTTTATACAATAACGATAATTTGAATCTCGTATTTTTGTGATTCTGATGTACACAGACAAACAATAGAATCGAGTCTCTGCCCTGTCAATTTCCGCACCATATCAGACTACGCACAGCCGACGAAATATACGCGATTGGCAACTGCATAAATAGCCGAACATATTAAATTACTTCTTGAAACTGATGTTCGTAGGATTGTTGAATTTTTCTGACGTCATAAGCGGCCAAACCATATTTATTACTGCAATGATGGCCTTGAGTGACTAAGAAGTCGCCTACTGAATCGCGTGATAAATTGTCTTCCAGCGGGAACATTTGGGTGGGTGGGGGTTTTTGTTCAACTTCTATTTGAATTGGCATAACGAATGCATTTCCATGTAGAAGTCTATCGCTACCAAAACTTAAACACGATCGAAAATTGTTCATATATATATATATATATATATATATATATATATGTAAGCAAATGTAAATGGATATAGATCCGACAGAATGAAGAAAAATTTGGAAAAAACAAACAAAAATTCTTAAATGCAATTATGTTGTTTAAAATGAATGAAATGTCGACGTCTAACGTTTCGGTTTAATAAACCTTTTTCAAGACAATATTCATTAAAATACAATTCAGTTCAATTTGACAAAGACGATGGACATAAAAAACAAGTCTTATCCAAAACAGATAACTGAAAATTTTTAAAATGATCAGCTTTCCGTTTAGCATGGTCACGTTGTCGTCACA